ACATTTCTTTCCCATGATAAATATTACCTACAGCTTGGAATTTTTTTGAGTATATATTAAATGTAAGATGATGGTTCTAACACTGCCCTGATTATTTATGACCTCTTCTGAACTTCTACTCTCTTCTTGGAATTTTTCTTGGTACTATTACTGTCATCCTATAACTCTCTAGTGAAAAAATTAGAAGAGAGGCTCTCCTTTAAAACCGATACATACACACAGGTATATATGTATGTATGTGTAGTCAAGCAAAACAGATATATGCATTGTCCATGTTTGAAAATATCTGTCTCATTCTGTATCTTTTGTCTGTTGCCCTCTCTCCAGGAAAGGAGCCAATGGATAGGGAGATAAAGATGAGACAAACAGTGGGAATGATAGAGGGGACAGTCTGCTGGAGGAAAAAGAAGACAAAATGATCAAGGGTGCAAGTTGCAGGTTGGCCTTGGTGAGAAGGGCCATCTCATCATTTGAGGCAAGAGTGAAGGACATAGTTGGGGAAGATGTCTGAGTAAAATAAAGCCTCCTTATACTAAGTTCCTCTTCCATCCTCCCCTTTCCCCCCATTACCTTCCATTTATCTTTTATGTACGTAGTTTATTTGCATGTTATGTCGCATTTTAGAATGTAATCTTGAAAGCAGGGACCATGTTTTTGCCTTTCTTTTTTAAAATGCTTAATTGACTGGATAATAAAAGTGTTCTTACCCTCACTTATCCCATTAATGGAAGAAGGTGATAAACTACAGAGGAAAATAGGAGAAGCATGATTTATCATTATTCTTCTGGAGTCCTGATTGGTCATTTAGTTAATAATAGTTTAAAAGTCTTTCACATTTCTTATTATTTTAGAGTTGTATTAGTCATCATACAACTTGTACCTCTCCATTCTTCACTAAAAAAAATTGAGATTATTCACCCAGAGCTCCTACTTCTGCCTTCCCCTTTATCCCAACTAGGTGGCACAATGGACAGAGTTCTGGGCCTATATTCAGGACCACTTGAGTTCAAATCCAGGATCAGACACTAATGAGCTGTGTGACTCTGGTCAAGTCACTTAACCTCTTATTGCTTCAGTTTCCTTATCTGTAAAATGAGGATGATAATAGCACCTGCCTCCAGGGTTGTTTAGATGCACTTGGGGTTGCGACCCACAGTTTAAGAAGAGCTGAAAGGGGCACAAGTGGAAACATTTAAAAAGCTCTGGTTTAGAGGATCAAATTAAACAATAATTGTAAATCAATTAGCACGGTGACAGAGACATAATAAGTGCTATGTAAATGTTAGTTATTATTATATCATTCAGACATCTTCCCTGACTATGTCCTTCACTCTCGCCTCAGAGAAGTTGGCCTTCTCACTAAGGCCAACCTGAAACTTGCACCTTTGATCATTTCCCCTCATTTTCCTCCAGCAGATTGTCCCCTCTTTCATCCCTACTGTTTGTCTAATCTTTAATCCTCCTATTTCCTGACTCCTTTTCCTGCCACCTATAAATAAACATGCTTAAATCTTCTATTCCCATCCCTCATCCTCTTCTTGGCTGTGCTTTTTTTAAAAAAATTTTTTTATTTTGTTCCCAATTACATGTAAAATAATTTAAACAATCATTTTTAAAAATTTTAAGTTCCAAATTCTCTTCCTCCCTGCTGTCCCTCCCCCTTCCTTGAGAAAGCAAGCATTTTTATCTTGATTATCCATGTGAGATCATGCCATACATTTCCATATTTTAGCTAACCTTTTTGAGAAAGCCATCTATAATAGGTACTTCCACGTTGACTTTTTCCACTGGATTCTAAATCTTCTGCCGTCTGACTTCATTCAAACGTAAAAACGTTCTCCCCCAAATTATCAATGATCTCTTAATTGCCAGATCCCTGTGGTGTGTACCACCCTTCTCCCAGTTTCCATGCTAGTAACTTCAGTGTCATCCTTGACTCCTTATTCATACTCACCCCCACATATCCAGTCTTGTCCAATTGAAGTTGCTTCTACGTTTGGAAGATTTTTCTTATATATCTCCTTTCCACTTAAACAGCCATTACTCTGGTACAAACCCATATTCCAATACCCTGTCTCAAGTTTGTCATCTCTCTACTCCATCTTCCACTTATCTGCCAAAGTGATTTTCTTGAAGTACAGGTCTGACCTCTCCCCCCAATTTGCCCTCCCTCCAGTTTAATAAATTTGGTTGTTTTCTATTACTTCTAAGTTCAAATATAAAATGTTCTGCTTAACATTTAAATTTATTTACAGTCTAGTCTCTTTGCACCTTGCCACTCTTCATATACCTTATTCCCCTTTGCATATTTTGACCTAGCTATGCTGTCCTACCTGCTGTTCTTCCCGTATGACACTCCATCACCTGACTGTCCCCCATTTCACCTGTGCCTCCTGGATTCCCTGGGCTCCTTAAGGACAGCTTAAACTCTGCTTTCTACAGGAGGTCTCCCCTTCTGCATTAGTGCCCCACCCCCAATTACCTTCTGTTTATCTTGTGTATATATAGTTATGTGCATGTTGTGTCCCATTTTAGAACTTCTTGAAGTCGGGGACTGTGTTTTTGCCTTTCTTTTTAACTACAGCTTTTGGCACATCGTAAATGCTTATTAGCTGACTGGATGATGAAATTGTTCTTAGTCTCTTATCTCTTCATACATTTGTACAAGTCCTTTGAAGTTTGTCTGAATCTGTCATTTTCACCATTTCTTATAGCACAGTAGTATTCCATTACATTCACAATTTGTTCAGCTATTCCCCACTTGTTGAAAGTTCACTTGTGTTTCCAGTTCTTTGGTATGATAAAAACTGCCGCTGTAAATACTTTGGTGCATATGCATCCCTTTATCTCTTTGTGGTACATGATTTTGCTTGCTTGGTACCTCAACTCTTGTTTCTGGTTCCTCACAGTAGCTTATTTGTTCATTTTTACTTGAAAGCTCTTGATTTTGGCTATGATTTGGGATTTCTTTCTGGTGACATTACCTCAGATCTCTCACCTCTCTAATCCATTCTCTCTTTGCCAAAGTGATTTTCTTAAAATATAAGTCTGACCACTTTAGAAAGAGAAAAGGATTATCTTTTTACTTTGCCCTCTGGTTTGAGCAGATCTTTGCTTGTTTGCTTTGTTTTATGATTTCTTGAAATATAATATCCTGGGAGGTATTTTTAGTTTTACTTTAATCATGGTTTTCACAGAGTCCTGGTATTAGATTTAGTAACTTACATTTTCTACTTTTTTTCATGGAATCCACTACTTAAAGTTTTTCACCTTTTGTTCTAACCTGTTCTCCTAATTTTTTTCTTTCACAGTTCTTATTTCAATTCTATTTTTAATCTCTTATTCTGTTAATCTCTTCAGTACTTCCACATATTTTTAGAGTCCTTATGGCCAAGCTACTTGTTTTCTCTGAGACTCTCTCCATACTTGATGTGGAAGTCTTCTCTTTGTGAACTTCTGTTTCTAGCCTCACTACCTGATTTCAGACTTTGTTTTAGAGCCAGGCTTCAATCTCTTTTGCATTTTTTGGTTGATTTGGATAGCTGTTGTTTGGTTCTCTTCCCTCTGTAGGGCAGATGTAGTTCCTGATCTGAATAGGGTAGCTAGTAAGCCCTAACCCCCATCTCAATCCCTTATTTCTGTCTCAGTTCTCCCAGAGATCTGAGTTGCTTGCTAGCCTTGTTCCTTGTATCTTTGTCCTTGTACAATTGCCAGTTGGAGGTTGGTTCCATCTCCACTGTGGTCCTGGCAACCTCTAGCTAGATGTTGGGGATCAACTCCCCTGCTGTGCTCGGAGAAGCATTCGATTGATGCCTTTGTCTCCTTCCCCACACAGTGACCTAACAGGGTTCGTTCTGTCTCCCAGTTCTGTTCAAAGACATCAGGGTTTCAGCCCCAGTTACCAGAGCTCGTTATTGGTTTCCAACCTCCTTGTAGCATGAGCATCTCCAGAGAGCATCTTTTTGCTCCCTCTATTGTCTACCCTTTCGCCAGTTCTACAGACTTTGGGTTATATATTTTTGGAGTGATGCTAACTTTTGTTTTCATTTGGTTTTCTTGATTGCTCTGTCTGTTACCCTTTTTAGATATTTGCTGTGCTGGTGTCTGGGAGAATTAAGATCTTCTGTGACCTTCCACAGTACCATCTTAACTGGAAGGCCTGTATTTGATTTTAAAATAGAAAATTAACTAGTAGCTAAAGTAAATTATTGTATTCTGCAAAATAGAATAAGAACGTTAGAGTTACAAAGGTCAGAGGCAGGAAAGGTTGCTTTTTCCTGGGATAAGAGAGAACATCACAGAAGGTTTTGTGGAGCATTGGAGCTGGACCTTGAAGGAGGGATTGGATTTTCGAAGGTGGAGAAAGGATGCAAAGTGGGCAGATGGAATTGATCTGTATGTTCTAAGGCTAGAGCAAAGGTTAGCAGAGGAACAGAAGCGCTCCGTAGGTACAAGAAGTATAGTGAGTCCGTAAGAAGCAGTGAGGTGGAAAAGATGAAGATAGTAAAGAGGGTCTGGAATGTTTAGATATGAGAGATCCTACAGGAGAGTGGCGTGACCATATTTGTGCATACACTTTCTAATGTGGTATGAAAGATGAATCAAAGGGAAAGAGACGGCCAGTTTAGAGACTAGTTTTACTGTTGAACTTGATGGAGCAACAGGTACAGTATCTTTTGTTTTCTCTCCCTCTCCTCTCTCCCCACTTCCTAAATACTCAGTTAAATACCATGGCTATGTAGAAGTAATGTGTTGTTGAGTTTGGAGGTTTCAATGTAATATTTCTTATGTAAGTGCTACTGGATTTCTTTGATTAAAAAAAAATTCACACATGTATATATGTTGTTTTATGTAATTCATTTTCCCTTCCACACCAGTTGATAGTTCCATGAGCCTTTTACTGTATTATCTCATTTTTGGTTACAAACTGAATTCATTTATTCATTAATGACTCCATATGTGATCAGCCTTGATATTGACTATAATCCTATGTCTTACAGATGCTATTGATGGAGTGATGAATGGAGAATATTACCAGGTAACAAAGTTAAAATGCTCTCGAATGTATTGCATTAGAAGTTTAGAGTGCTCTATTTCTTTTGTTAACTTTGCTTTTTTGATTTGCTTAGGAGTGAATAGCACATTAATAATGGAAAGATTTTGAGAGCAAGTTGTGGTAATGATAGGTTACACATACAGCATTTTAAGGTTTACAAGTACTTATAAAGGAGAAAGGATATGGAACAGAGACCTAGGGTTCTGGTCCTGGATCTGCCACTAATTAGCTTTGTTGGTTTTAGATAAGACACGATTTCTAGTGGGCCTTAATTATTTTGTCTACAGAATGAGAGTGGTAGAACTAGATCTCGAGTTTCCTTTCTGCTCAGAAATCCTAGGGGAGAGTATATAACAGAATGAAAAAAAATTATTGATTAAGACAATCAAGTGCCCAATATTTTTGCAGGGGATACATGTACTGGCTTAATACATTTTTTGCTTTGCTTTACTTGTCTTCTCAGTAACCAAAGGGAAGAAAGTCTGTGTACTTCTCCCTCCATCAATTTACCATTACCACATTATCTGAAATAAATGTATCTTATCAGTACTACATCTGTTTGGTTGCCCATTTTTAGTAACTAGTAGTAGTATGTAAATTTACACAAGACAATAATTTAAGATTCATTAGTTAAACACAACTGAGGCTGTATTCCAGAAACATTCAAAATGTACTGAGTATTAACTAGTCCCTTCATTTCAGAACGCTCTCCAGTTGTTAGGGTTGTGGTGATGCCAGAGAAGACTTAATGAAGCAGACTTCTCCTTTTAAAAGCAATAAATTGAAAGAGCAAAAAAACTCAAAACAGAACCTGTTATACTTCTCAGAAATAAAGAGGGCAATGAAAATTTACATTTTGGCAATAATAATGAATCTTTTCCTTTTCTAATGAAGGTTGAATATGTTAAATATACCCAGATGAAACTATCCCCATAAAAGACAGATTGGGTTTTAAAAACTGAACTGGTAATAACATTAAAATGAAAGGTAGCAAAGGAATTAGTATAACTTTGGGATGCAAATGGTAAAAGTATATGTTTTTATTTAGCACAGAGAAAACAATGTTCTGAAATAACCTTTATTTCTGGGGCAGCTAGGTGGTGCAGTGAATAGAGCTCTGGCCTTGAAGTCAGGAGGACCTGAGTTCAAATCCAGCCTCAGACACTTAACACTTACAAGCTGTGTGACCCTGGGCTAGTCACTTAACCCCAATCGCCTCACCAAAAAGCAAAAAGAAAAAAAAAGAAATAACTTTTACTTCCTCCCTTTCTGCCCCCATTAGAAAAATATTTGTTACATTTGAGCCTATTCCATAACAATTGTCAGTTCTTAGAATTATGGTCATTCTTTAATTTGTTTGTCGTCTGTTGTCTTCTTTCTTAAGAGTTGTGTGAACCTGTTTAAAAAACTGTTTATTGCTTATATTGGAATAAATTTCTTTATTACATTCATGAGGCTTTTGCCTTTTTGTTGGAAACATGACTTCTTCCAAGCTGAAAACAGCTGCATTTCATGTTCTGCTCTAGAGCCTCAGTGCATGGAAGTGAGACTGACCACATCTGTCTTGAGATGTTGAATTGTAAGTCTCAGCTCTGAAGGATCTGTGTTATGTTTTCCTAGTAACACTAATGATCCTTTTCAGCCTTTCCACCTGTTCATGTTGTGGGGCACTTGAGGACATTGAGATCCATAATAACAACTGGAAGAAGTGACCTTTTACTTAAAAGCACTGCTAACTAAAGAAGCCTCCACTATCACATAATTCTGTAAAGGAATAGAAATAGTCAATTATTGGGGCCATTTTGTTGCGTTATTGTGTTCTAGTTTGATTTCTGGTATACTTTTTCCTTTGAAATAAGTATATATATATTGATAGGTATTTTTCTGTCTTTGACAGACAGTGTGGTACAGCAGAAAGAGTCCTTACCTTGGAGTCAGATTTGGATCTCGGCTCTGGGCTCTGCTCCTTACTGTCCAAGTGACCTTGGGCAAGTCACTTGGGCAAGCACCTCACAACCTGCAAAGTGAGGGGCTTGGACTAGGCCAGCCTATTGTGATTGATCGAAGGAACCTAGCATGTTTATCTAAGAAAAGAGAAGACTCGGGGAAATGAGAGCTGTTTTCAAGTATTTGAAGGGCTGTCATGTAGAACAGGGATTAGAGTTATTCTCTGGCCCCAGAGGACAGAACCACAGGAATCTGAATTAGTTAAAGATGAGGAAAGGCAAATTTAAGATAAATGTTAGGAAAAGCTTCCTAATAATTAGAGCTATCCAGAAGTAGAATGGGATGAAGGTGACAGGTTCCCCATCTTTTGAGGTAAAAAGGCTGGATGACCACTTGTTGCTAATGTTATATATTGTGCTGGGTTGGACAGATGGCTGCCACAGTTCTGTGACTTCTAAGGTCCCTTCTCACTCTAAATCTATCACCTTGTGATACATTTATTTACTTATTTAGAAAAAGGTTTTGGACATGACACAATTAAATCTGAAATGTTCTAAAAATCAACTGAGTAAGGTGGTATTTATTGAATGGTTTCACTATTTTCCAATATTCTTGTCCTGTACCTGACCATTCTTTCATGTGGTACTTGTAAGAATTTCTAAATGTCTCTTCTAATTACGTTTACCTATTATCTGGTTTCTTACATTTAACTCAAATGTACCTGTATGTTTTTCTCAACATTCATCAATCATCTTAAGAATTTTCTGCCTACTCAGATATTTTTGGCTAATTGGTTATTAATAACTTGAACAAATTTGGATCACTAAAAGGAAGCTCCTACCTCTTTTCTGTTTCTCAGATATGCCTTAGACTGCTGTATTCTGGAATTAACCACTTTATTCAGATTTCTCTTCTTTAATATGGCTTATACCAAAATAATCACCATTGTCTGCTTCTCTCAATGATCTGCTCTGAGTATTATTGCACACACTTTGTTATTATTAAGTGTTAGCGCTAAACCGTGTGGAAGAAGGCAATTTAAATTTGAACTGATTCTATTGACAGACTTTATAATAATCTAACGCTTTGTATCTTTTTGTGTAAAGGAGAGTAATGGTCCAACTGATAGTTACGCAGCCATTTCACAAGTGGATCGATTACAGTCAGAACCAGAGAGCATCCGTAAATGGAGAGAAGAACAAATGAAACGTCTGGAAATCCTTGGTAATCCTTTCCAAGTTTATATTAGCTAAATGAATATAATTTTTCCCTTATTTAGTTTAAGTTTATATAATACTTACATTTAGCCTAATGCAATAGTTTCTAATGCTAATTGTTCACATCTTTGAAGCATTTAGAATCTTGTTTGACTCTTGGTTTTGGCTTGATATTTTCTTTCACTGGAAGGGCAATGTATAATTGTATATAACTAGTATCTTGGTTTGATAGGTGTTGCAGACAGTGAGAGATGGAAAAGAGGAGGCACATGAGGGAAAATGTTCCAAAGTATATAGTTTGTTCTAAAATCTTATGCACATTTAGCACATACACATCTCTGTTGTAGGGGCCAAATAAGAAACACAAAGGTTCCTCAGAGATTCTAGCTCTGAGTAGATTTAGTCTCATTCTGCCTATTCCCTTTATTCCAGAATATTTGAGGTGGTTATGTTTGGCCTACATTTGAAGAGAGCTTCCCTTTTATTATTTTCAGTCTCCTAAAAATTAATAGGAAGATAGAGGAAGGGAGATTTTTCAAGTTATTGCTCTTGTGACAAAGCCAGGACATAAAAAGAGCAAGAGGGAAAGTATTGTGATGCATCATTTTTGCATTGAATTCTTTACTCAGTTATAAATGTTTAATTACTGTGATGTGTATTTTGTTTCCTCCCTTGTCCCATTTCTATTCTTATCCCCCAAAGTGTCTGAGTATCACTATTGCTGACCTAACTAGCAGTTGCCAATGCATTCTTGCCAAAAGACCTAGCCCTATTTTTGAATATTCCTCCATCTCATTATTGCCCATGTTGATGATCAGAACTGGCTGAGACACAAAACACAAATTGAAGCAGATTGCATTATTAAGGTTTGATAGAGCTAATCTTGAATTTCACAGGAAATTTTAATTTCTTATCTGTCTATTAGAATTAGAAATTAGAAATTAGATAAGATAATTTCTATGTATCTTAGCTTCCATTTGATAACAAAGTTATAATTTTGTAACAACTTTATGAATGTACCATCCATTCATATATACCTGAGAGCATAGTATTCTAGTAATTAGCTACCAGTTACCCAATCTGTTGTTGGTATAAAAAAAGTATTATTTGAAGCCTAAAAATGTATTATTATTCATCTGCCACCCACTACTATTCCTATGGCTAATAAACTCCTACCATCTGTTTCTCTTCTTATCCCTTATTACTCAATCACCAGCCATCTAGGAACAACCTCTCCCTAAGCCTACCTCCTATTCTTTCTTCTGAGTGCTCCTCAACATTACCACCTCCATGTCCCATTCCAACTCTGCTCACCCCTTCCATTGTGCTTACCAGAATTCCCATTCCATAGTGAACAAACTCTCCATCTTGCACCTTTTTCTCTCATACTTCTTCTGTCTCTGTCCTCGCTGAGACCTACCATGCCCCAGAAGATACTACATCTGGTTATGCCTTCTTTCCCAACCCCACCTTCTCACACTCTCCTTCCTCCCTCCCTCCTTTCCTCTTTCCCTCTTTTTTCCTCCTCTCTTTCTCTTCTTCCCTCTCTCACACACACACTCACAGATATTCCTTGCTTTCAGCTGCTACTTCCAAACTTTTCTTTTGCCACTGTCACTTGAACAAACCCTTTTCCTTTTAATAAAAAAAAAGTATCAGAACTTTCCTCTTTGTTCAGATGATGACAGTGTTGTCTGCCAACCAGGTCATTCTTTTTCACTGGACTCCCTGAAAACTTAAAAAAAAAAAAAAACAACAACCTGGGTGCTAGTTCAAGAAATAGAGGAAAACTGCTAAGATTTATTAAGGCAAAGGGAAGAGAGTTTTACTGATCATCTTCTGAAATTGGCCTCCAAAGGAAAAACCCCAGGAATGAAAACCACGATCTAGAGCTTTCATGTCAAAAAAAAAAAAAAAAAATACTGGCAGCATACAAAAAGAAGCTATATGTTTTTAATTGGGCTGTAGGGGGTGATGCCAAAATGGGGAACCATTAAAACATTTTTTAAAATTCACAGAAGGAACTACAGTCAAGCTGGACAATTTTCAAAGTAGTATGTGGCATTTGTATACTTTTTTGAAAAAGTCATATGAAATGGAAAGGAGACGGAAGGAACTCAGAGTTAGCAGTAATCCCTTAAATTACATTTTAAAATATACATGCAAAGCTGAATTTAAAAGTTTTAGTTTAATTGTTCAAATGTTCTATATAATTTGAGTACTACTACTTTTTGAAGTAAGAAATAAAACTTTTTTCTGCTCTAAGTTTCTGGTATATTTGTTCTCCTTCACAGTCACTGGAGTCATGGGGTAAAATGGTCCCTTATCTGAATGATCCATTTTATTAAAACTTTTCTGGTTTTACACGCTATATAAGTCAAATGAGGTGTTTACAATTTGGAATCTGGATCTCAAAGAAAATAAAATTTTCGCCATGCTTTATTAGTTTATGCCAGGGAACTCAAGGTGTATTCAGTGATGCTATTTATTTTTACTCCTTTACACTGTGAAACTTGTCATAGGATTAGTTGACCCCATTATCCACTTTCCCTCTGACTCCCAGAAAATAGTTGATTTTTTTGAGGGGGGGAAGGGGGCAAGGCAGTTGGGGTTAAGTGACTTGCTCAGGGTCACACAATTAGTAAGTGTCAAGTATCTGATCTGAGACTGGATTTAAACTTGGGTCCTCCTGACTCCAGGGCCAGCGCTCTATCCACTGCGCCACCTAGCTGCCCCAGAAAATAATTAACAACCTCTTCAAGGGCGCACAGCCACACCAGGCTGCCCACACTGCACAGCTGCTTCTGTGCTTCTTCCTTCCACCCCTAGGAGAGGGTGTGTCCTTATGTGATAGTCACATTCCATCTGTTAAAAAGAGAGAGATTCTGGCTTCCTTCTTACCTGTAGTTGATCCTTTAATTTCTCTTCCCCAAATTGTGGGTTATGGTCATCTCTAAAATCTAATTCTTAGTCCTCCATTTTTCTCCAGTGAAATTCATCCATTTTAATCAGAGAGAACAGTGATACAGAAACATTTATGTAGGCTTAGCTCTGAAAGATAAAATTATATGGTTATTTCAGTCAACATCCAGAAGGAAACCTCTAAGTTCTCCCTTCCCCCATCCCAAATTCCTTATTTTTCAAAAGGATTCATTTTCTTGGGATATTGTATTTCAAGTGACTTCTTTGATAAATGCACCCAGCTTATCTGTTTTCCTTTGGGGATCTTTCCTCTGCTCCCAAACAATATATTCTGTCATATGGGGAAGATAAGGTTGCTTGACATTCCTTTTCATTGTTAAGTATAAATAATTATACCAGCTTGGTCATTGTCATACTACTGCTAGTTTTCCTAACATCTGCCCTTGCCCCAGCTCCTTCCTTTGTTTTCCTAAAAGTTGTCATTTAGATTTTGTTTTGAAGTTAAGGCATTTCCAGTAATTTTGTGGTTTTTTTATTTATAATCTATATTCAGTCACTGTCACTTGTTATTCTTTGTATTATTGTGGTATTTTCACATATGTTTATAAAATATTAGAGCTATAAAGAAACCTTAAATCATTTAGTTGAACCATTTTCCTTTTATGGATCATGAAGTAGATGTCCATAGATATGGTTACTTGTTCATTTGGTAGCATAGCTGGGCCTGGAATTCAGGTCTTTTAGTCAGCTTTTCTTTCTACTACAATATGTTGATACTCAAAAAAATCCTGTGAGATAAATAGTAAGAAGGGAAAGCATTATTGTGCATGTGTGCCACTCTCCCCTTTTTTGTTTAATATGAAGAAATGGAGGCTTGAAGGAGTTGTGATTTTACCCAAAATCACATGGCTAGTGACAGAGTCAGAATTAAAATCCAGGTCTTCTGATTTCCAGCCCAGTACTTCTCAGTATACCATATTGCCTTTGGGAAATGGAAGCAATCTGTGGCACCTGTAATCCAGAAATTGTTTATCTGTGGAATTTATTTCTCCACTGATTTAGAATCTGGTCTGGGAAGTCAAATATTAAGACTATGAAAACTCAACTTGAACAACTTTTCTCTCCTAACCCCTTATTCCCCTCCCAGTCCAGTTTCCTGTTCCCTATACTAATTACATATAGTGAATACTTGCATTTAACCTATAGCATGAACTCAGTGCTGTAAGTTTTCAGATTGAGACAACAGATTTACTCAAGTTCATTCTGATTCTTCTGGGGATTGTCAAGTTAGGTTGTGGTTGTTTTAATTTAAGCTTTTTTCTTACCCAAACCTTTGAGTATAGGATGAAGGAACCATAAACCTCTTTCCCTTCTCATTCCTCCCTAACTATAGGCTATAGTCATAGAATAAATAAATGGTATTAATAGCAGGGTGGTTTTTAGAATAGATAATAATAGAGACTGTCCCTCGCTAATGGCTAAAAAGCCTTGGTATCTGTTATTTTTAAATAAACTAATATATAAAGTTTCTACTGTGTTCCTTCTCCAAAGATGCTAATTCTCAGAAGCAGGAAGCAGAATGGAAAGAAAAAGCAATAAAAGAGTTGGAAGAATGGTATGCAAGGCAAGATGAACAGCTACAAAAAACAAAAGTAAATAACAGGTAAGTTCAAAGGGGATAAAACAACAAAGCTTCCAACATGAAATAATGTAAGTGCCACATTTTCAGATTTCTCTTGAACCTCATCATCCTGGTAGCTATATTTTGATATTCTTTCTTGCCTCCAACTTACTTTGTATATAAGATTACTGAAATACTCACAAGAAGTGTGTGAAAACTTAGGCTTGCATGTTTTAATTTCATCATCAAACACACATAGTTGTTTTAGGGTATTTAGAATCAGGACCTAAGTTTGAGTCCTGGCTGTACTCCTTATTCCTCTGTCACTTTGAGCAAGTAATTTAACCTTGCTGGACCATAATTCCTTACCTGTATTGAGGGTATTATACTAGATGGCCTCTGGGTTCTCTTCCATCTCTAAATCTATGATCCTATGACAAGTAAACATAGTAAGGACTTAGAACTAAACTCTAATGTGAGCATTAGTTCTCTTCCCTAGCGCTAGCCCTAAAGAGTTCCATGCTATAGAATTATGTTTTTATTTGGTTACCATGACATTCACTGCAGTACATTGAGTTCAGTAAATTTTTCTCTAGTCCTTGTCTGGATCCCATTCATCTCTTCTGGGAAATTTTAGCGACATGATTTGTGGCATCTTCTTTGTTTAATCTCTTAAAAGGGAAGAAAATATAGAAACTCTTGGCATTTTTATTCCTTGACTATAAAAAAGCAGTAGTTATCTTTAATTCCCTCTTCTATTTCTGCCTCAGTTAATATAAACTTCACCAGAAAACAAATTCTCAAATTGCTTAAGCAGTAAGACTTATGAAATTAAAAGGAGAGGAGGAAAATGGAGTATTTTATCACTTTCATGTAGATAACTTTTCTCCTTTCATTGACTAATTCACTTCCTCCTCTTGGGCAGCTTTAGTGGAAAGTTAGGCTGGAAATTTATAATAATTATTCACAAAATTTTAGGGTTCCTGCTCATTGAGTCAGATTTGCTTAATGCAGGAATCTCTTCTATAATCTGTTTGAGAAATGGTCACCCAACTTCTACTGAAATATTTCTAGTGAAAGAAACTTGCCTCAGAGTTTCATTATTATTATTATAATTATTATTCATTATCTTCAATTATGAGAGTCCGTAATCATCTTTCTTATAACTACCATCCATTAGTTCTTTTTCTGTCATCTAGAACAGAGGTGTCAAACTCTAGATGAGGAGGTGTGACCAGATTAAAATGGAATTGGGAAATGTTTAACAAAATTAATAAAAAATACAGTGTAACATATTTAATGTTAATTTGTGGTTTTCTATGTCAATGTGCTCCCTTCAGGGATTTGTTTCTATTTGAGTTTGACACTACCAATCTTTTGCCTTTTTGTACAACCCTTAAAAATTTTGTCTTTTCCCTTTTTTTTCTTCTCCCCTTCCCCAGTCTTCTCCAAACAAAAGATCCCATGACATGGTTTCTAGGCACTTCGCCACATCTTTGAGATCTCTGACCCTTTAAAGTAGAGTTCCCAGAATCAAACATGCTTGTACCAGTTAGTCTACATAGACAATAGTGTCATTATGCCTTTCTTGCCTGGAAGGTTTTGATAGCAATAGCATCCTAGCTTGTTTGAGCTAAACCCCCAGAGCTTTCATATGAACTTATGCCTAAGTCTTGCCCATTGCCTATTTATACCATTCATTTTTTTCTTGCAGGCAGTGGGCAAAGGATCTTAAACGCAGATTCAGATCTGTTAAAGAATATTTCAGCACCTACGTGCATTACAGTACAAACTTGTGTTTTGTTTTGTTTTACACTGGAACTCTTCTATGGCGAAGAAAATATGAATACCTCATGGACATTGTATTAACAAGATTTGAATTATACTCAAGTTTCTTGTTCTAAATAAGTAATACAAAGAATTTAAAGTTACAGAAATTGGAAACTAACTCGCCTTCTGTAATCACATGTCACCAAGTTGGCTGCAGAGTGATGGATTTTTCCAGCACAATAACTCTTGAGGACCATCCACTCAGTTATAGTGGGATTGTAATATGTGTTGGTGGAGGAAAGATACGCATGAATGAAATCACATTTCCTTGAAATATTGAGGAAGCAACAGCATGATATAATTTGTGACAGCAAATACTTTTTCTTAACCCCTAGTCCAAGGGCTACATGTAGCACTCTGAAGAGCTTAATGAATGTGGGTTTTTTATTGGCCACTCCTGAACCAGTTGTTTAATTGGCTCTGCACCAAGTCTGACTCTTCAATTAGTGTCTTATTCTTAGTATTCTTCTACAGGCATTCCTCATTTCTCTTTCTCTAAGCACTCTGGGCCCTGAGCTGAAGAGAAGAACTGAGCTGAGTGTCTTGAAGAAAATTTTCTCTTGGGGAAACTCTTCGGGGAGATGTGGGGGAAGTAGAGGGAGGTGGTGTTCAGAAAGGTGTATACATTATGTAAATTCTTTGAGGGCAGGGACTGTTTCCCTCTTGTCTTTCTATCTCTGTTGTATGTTAAAATAGTAAGAGTTTAATAAAGGTTTGGTCACTAATCCATGACTAAACTCCCTAGGAAGATGATATGGTAGCCCTCCTCAATTGAAGAATGTCTGTAATCATTCTGTAAACACTGAGGCTTTCATTTTTGAGTTTATTCATAATGGGGTTCAGAAAAGAGAGTAAAAGCTTCTCCAATTTTGATAAATCATTTCTCTTCATTAGTGGAAAGGACATTGGCCTGGGAAATAGGAGAGCCACATTTAAGTTCCAACTCTAAGTCTTACTTGATAGATATAGGTGTCTGTCTGTCTGTCTCTCTCTCTCTATTTATATATATATATATATACACACACACACACACACACACACATATACACACATATATATACATATATAAAAATATACACACACACAGAGATAGATATAGATATGTAGATAGACAGATAGATATAATATATCTCCTTCACTTGTCTGTATCATGTGGGTGGCTAGATCTCTAACATTGAGTCTTTGAAATTAGATAACAGGATTTACCTGTTTGATTAGAAATAACGAATTTTGGTTGAAATGAGTATACTGATGTTCTTTTCTCTAAAGTTAAAGAATGATGAGTTTATATAATGGTTTTGCTCTCCACTTAAAAACTGCTTCCGGAAAAATTCACTATGTATTTTATTACCAAGCTATTTCTTTTACCAAATTATATTTTATTTCTTTATTTTTGTTTAAATCCTGATACAACTTGACTTTTTAAGGCAAGGCAGGAGGGAAGGATTATTTTAATAGCTTCAGTGACTTTTTAAGAAAATTGAATCATCTATGTGGATTATAGAAGTAAGAGAATTTAAGGAAACAAACCCAATTACTACTGTCATTTAAGAGTTATTCTTCATTTTAGTTGGGTTGATATGTAAGCCTTGTTAAGATGCTTGGGTAGTAAGTATTTTTAAAAAAAAATAGATGAGAATGTAGACCACTGAACATATTATATTGACTAGGCCTAGATATTTTAATATCATAAGTTAAATATATTTAACCTAAGTAGGTTCCCTTATGGGGGACTATATTACATTTAACTCAAAACTGAATGATTGGCAGACTTTTTTTGGTATAGGGGGTGATAGATTAGTTCGCAGTAGTGATAATTCTAGTCCATGTTATCCTTGAAATAAGGGATTCATTAGAATATGGACCTCTTTCCCCCCTCATCCCACTCCTTTTCAAGTTCCTTCTTTTTCTTTTTCGTAACCATGTGACAATTAAGTTTGGGTATCCATTGGCTCTTTTATAACCAAGTCAGTCAGTTTAGTGCTTATATTTTTCTTTATCCAACATGTATAGATTGTTAATCTGATTACTTGAGTGAACTAGTATATTGAGGTATGTTATCAATTAGATTATTTGAGAAGGTATGGTAACACGGATAATTTTTAAAGGGACGAAGGTGGAGAGCTATTTTATAGTATGTTAGCTAAAGATATACTGCATTGGGAGTCAGAAAGCAGTACAAGTTTCTGCTCTGATATTTAATCCTAGTGCCCTTGGACAAGTCTTTTAACCTCCAAGCCTCAGTTTGCCCGTTTGTAAAATAAGAATATTCTGCCTCTACTTCACAGGGTTGTTAAGTACTTTGTAAATTGCAAAACCGTTATTAATGTGTAAGCCACTATAAATTTAGCTTTTAATGTTTACTTAAGTTGTTACCAAAAACTTTATTCCCTTGGTCATTTCCAGTGACTAACCAGAGAGGATAATCTAGTTGAACAACATAATTCACGTTTCCCTGACTCCAGTTGGGAGATTTGACCAAAAATTGGGGAACTACTCTACCAGAATTTAAATAGGGTTAGAACAGAGCTTTAGAAACGCTGTGGGTAGCAAGCTCGGTAGTTTTGTGAGGTCTTAATGTAATTCCATTGTCACTAGGCTGATACTGATAATTAGATTTTTCTGCTTTTCAATGTTCTCTCTTTTTTCCTGCCTGCTTGCCTGCCTTTTGGACTTCTTGCTGTCTAGGGTGGCAGATGAAGCTTTCTACAAACAACCCTTCGCTGACGTGATTGGTTATGTGTATGTTGCAAAACTAATTCTTTTGATCTTCTAAACTTTTTTGTCTGATATTAGTATTTCTTTTGTATAAAAATAGTTGTCTTGCTTTTAAGCTGTTTCAGATTGATCCTGTCAGTTGCCTTTTAGCAATTTTGGTAAAAGGCAATATAAATTATGGATATTTTGTATAACTTTGATTTAATCTACAAACCATTCTCTAATTACTGTATTTTTTGAGCTGTGAGACAGGATATTGAAGGAAAATATTTTTCCTTTCAAAGGTTCTTGGGGGTGGAAGTGGAAGGTAGGAGCACCTGGGATATGTGGCTTCTGCCTTCTTTCCCCATTCATCCCTCACCCTTGGGAAGGGAGAAAGGTATTTCAGCCTGGGGGTGGAGTGGAATTGGAAATAAAAGAAAGGACGTGGTCATTCACTGGGAGGGGAAAGAGCCCAGAATTTGGAGCCAGCCTGGGGATGGCGTTTCAGTTGTGCCACCTAATGATTTTTGTCTCTGACTTTGGACAAGTCACTGAAGCTTGCTAAGTTTTGCTCTCTTCATTAATAAAATGGCAATGGTTCTTACACTGCTTACTTCCCAGGGTGGTTTTAATTTATCAACTTGGTTGGATACTGTTTGTAGAGGATAACAGCACCTTACAGATGTGAGCTGCTACTATTGTTGTTTCTGTCTCTTCCTCAAGGAAGAAGATAATTTAATCAGAGAAGTTTCTCAGATAAATGTGTGATTGTTTTCTGTGATCTTACATGAATGAATGTGCTTCCACTCGATTGTCGCTGAGCTTCCTTTCTCCCCTAGATGATCTCCATTCTCTTGTCCCTACCCTTGCCCAACTCAAAGGATGAGATGGTCACAACTATAAGCAGCAGGCTAATTTTAGGTATTTTTTTTTTCACCAAAGAAAATCAAGTCTTATGGTTTGTTTGGCTTTAATTGTTGGACTTTTTCTTTGTGTTTTAAGGCTATAAATTCCTCTTTGGTTATCCTAGTATCTTGGGACAACAGTAGAAATACAATAATTGAATTTCCCCCCTTTTCTGGAACTTTAAAGAATGGTAATTTAAGTAGATTTCTATGTAATGAACTTCCTAGATGTATTTGAAACAAGACTTGTGAAATGCTGGATTTACAGGTGGTGTTTGATTTGCCTTTGAAAATATTTCTGACACTGGAAAAAAAAAAAGAATGGCAAGGATGGGTTTTGGTTTACTGTGTTCATTATGTAGATAATACCGAACAACTGTGCAGTAAAATTGCACAGTGAAATTAGCAGCATGTTTCCTGAATGTAGCCTGAGTGGTGAGGGCATGTCTAGCTTACTTGTCATCTGCATTAAGCTCATTTTCATTTCCTATATCTGACTTAAAATTTCTCTCCTTGTTTCTTTTCTTCTCTTCACCTTTAAGCACAAACATAAATCATCCTTGCTACAGCCTAGAACAGTTAAGTAAAATTTTCTCACTGCCCCTCAGTGTCTGTCCCATGAAGTAGCAGTGTTGTAGTGAGCTTGGTCTGCAGTGGTGTCTCACATAGTCATTCCTGTGAATGGTGCAAAACCTTTTCATGGAATTTCCATCTCCATTGCTTTGGCTTTTCCTTTACTGCTTGTTGGAGTAGATGAATTTGGTTTTCCCTTCTAGATTGTGTCCTGTCTCTTTCCCCACCACTGCTTCCTGGGCTGGCTTGAGTACCCCCCACCAATCAATTCCTGATTGAAGTAACAGGGGACGTTTGCCTAATTTGAAAGAATGCTTCAGGCAGCATCTTGCAAAAAGATAACATTTTCCCTTCTAGGTTTGTTTGCCTTATGAAGCAAAGACCTTTATAGAAGAGCCAGTGTTATCTCTTTTGCTCGCCTTAAAACAGCCTGGTATCAACAGGAGGATGGCTTAAGTCTACAGCTTATCCAGGCATGGAGGCTCTGACTTAAGTTCCATTCAGACTGGCCTTGTTCTCTACAGCCTTAGGATTTAACCCGTTATGTTTATGATGGCCTATCAGGTCTGCAGACGTTCCTAAATTTCCTTGAATTCAGGACAGGTCAGCATAACCAAATACGCTAAGTACCTGCTTGAATACACAAGTACCAATCTTTGACTCTCAGTAACAAAATCAGTCCATAGCTGTGACAGTGTAGGACAGGTCAAGATTGAAAGAGAGCAATCCTAAACTAAACACCTGTATTCCAACATTTTACACAGCAGTTCTTGGCACTCCGTGTGCACAGGGGGTTGATGTGATGTGGCACATCTGTCTTCTGCCGTAAGAAATACTTTTTTACTCTTGGGGAAAAAAACAGAATGCAGTTTGACAGGCCTGGCAGATGAGGCGCTTTTGTGGTAAGGCAATGAGGTGGCTCGCTGGTCTTATGTCTTACAGTGAGATAACTCTTGTCTCTTTGTCTGCAGGGCAGCTGAAGAAGCTTTTGTAAATGATGTTGAAGAGACTTCTCCTGGCACCGAGTGGGAACGTGTAGCTCGGCTGTGTGACTTTAACCCCAAGTCTAGCAAGCAGGCCAAGGACGTGTCCCGCATGCGCTCAGTTCTCATCTCCCTCAAGCAGGCCCCCCTGGTTCACTGAAGGGAAGCCCAGTGAAAACACTACGATTGCAGTATCTTAATCTTCCTCAGCGAAGCTGTTCACAGTCATTGGATTAATTATGTTGGGTTCTTTTGGACCAAACCTCTTGTCTTTAGAGTTGATCATTGTTTGTGATTGCATGTTTTCTTCAACTGTTTTCTCCCTGCCATTCAGAGTGGGAGGGAAGTGAGACCCTCCAGGACAATAGCCTCTTGTGCTTTTGTGCATTGTCATTTTCAACTGTACTGATAATAAAATTCTCTTTCAAATAGCATATGGTATTGTTTCCTTTTTTTTCGAGGCTCAAAGCAGATGCCATGGCCATTTTTGGTATGTTTGTAGAAGGGACTTGGGTTTTGAGTAGAAGGTGGGTTGAAAGACCTCTGAGATTTCGTTTCCCTCCCACCCACTCCCAGCCACCACCTTATTGCTTTAGCATAGGTTTATATTATAAATATAGGTGTACAAAAGTATAGTTGGATCATATAGCATCTTTGCAACTACCCAACGAGCAAGGTAGTTCAAGTTATCTTCTCGCCTTACAGCCAAGGACTCTGAGACTTGGAGAAAAATGACTTGCCCGTGATCGTATGATGTGACTGGGATTCAAGGCCAATCGTCTGTCTCAAGAATATTGCTCTTCCTCTATTATATATTGCTTCCCTGCCTTGAGCAGCATGTATAACTTTAATTCACTGAACCACCTCAATGTTTCTGTATGAGCAGTTTTTAAAAAAAAAATTCACTACATAGGCTCGTGGCTTGCTAGGAGGAAGCATGCCTAGAAAAGGTGGGACTCTGTTATTCCTGGAGCACACTGAGATTGGTCCTTTTTATTTGATGGCCTGGGAATTAATAGGCCCTGGATGGATCCCATCAGTGGGATAAGGTTGCGGCCTCTGCTTACACAGAGGGGTTGGTCAGCTGGATGAAAACACTTGGTAATTGTTACTGAAAAACTCAACCTTGAAGTAATAAAAGTGAAATTAAATGAAACTGAGTTGATTGGCCTTGAGCTGAAGGTCACTTTTTGGTGGTCCTTTTAAAGGTGGGAGGGGTTTTTATCAAATGACATGTTTGTATAGTGCTTAGCATAATATCTGGCACATAGTAGGCACTATATAAGTGTTAGTTACTATTATTCCTTCTGTGTCCTAGGCTTTTTGCATTGATCTTGATGGTAATCTGTTTGCTTTAGGTTATTCTTAGAAATTCTGAAGACGAGTACACACTGGAGTGAGGAAGATTCCACTGTGCTAGTCCTCCAGTTCATCTTGGCCCTAGCCTCGGGCATTCCCAAAGTACATCCAGTCACCACTCCACGGTATGGTGGATCGTTGGGATTGGTGAATTGAAAGAGAATAACATATATTCAGGGAAGAAGATAAGCCCTTTTTGGGCTAAATATTTTCCAGAAAGAAGCTTGGCTGTTGCGTTCATGGGCAGTAAGAGCAGACGCTGCTTTACTGAGGCTGGATCTGATAAGTTGGAGGAATTAACTGAGGACCCCTGTAGTAAGGTGGGTTTGGACCCTTATACAGTTGGAATAGAAAACCTGTCTTTGTTTCTCTGGGATGATCTGGGAATCAGGTTTGGCCCTCCAAGAATTCCTTGCCTGTCCTGATGTGGGGGAAGGGAGTAGTGGGAGAGAGGGAGTGGTCAGACTTAATGAAGGAGCTGATGGTTTTTGATTGGTTGTATAATACTGAGCAGCAGATCAAACCTCAGGCCCCTTATACCTACTATAGATGACATAGAATTAAGCTTTTGGAAGGTCTACCTGTCGAGAAACACTAATTGGTTGTGCACCTTCCCTGTTTGTTACTGTTTAGAATAGTTTGAATAAAGGGTGGATCACCTTGGTGTTAAGGAGACTCCTGGTATTAAGCAGTGGTATTTACCTTCTTGGATGGCTTGCTCTAAGAAAGATAACACTGGTTAAGACCATGGAATCCCTGTGGAAGTGGGAGGTTTGGGTGGAGTCACCACATGGAGGACAAAGACCACCTTCCGGATAAAATTAGGAACACTGGGTGTAAGTAGTGTGTGTCCCTTTGTAGTTATGAATTAGCCTGAATATATAGCAGGCGTACATTCTGTTAGGTTTAGGGGGACTGATAGCAGTTCAGGCAGTTGTTTCATTACAGTAGGAAAGGTTCATTAAAAATCCCCTGGTTTGTCCAAACCAGGGGTCCTTCACGTGACCCTCTAGGTCTTCAAGTGCAGCCCTTCGACTGAATCCAAATTTCCTAAAATCTTTTTATTGGGATTTGTTCTGGGAAGTTTGGATTCAGTCAAAGGGCCGCACTTGAAGACCTAGAGGGCCACATGTGTGCTCAAGGCCCCAGGATCCCCACCCCAAATCATCCCACGCTGTTAAGATCAGGCACTGATGCATCCCTTGACTGATGGCTGAGTTTTGTATTGTCACAGCTGCCATAGGCTTTGATAGGAAGAGTAAGGCCCAGGAATGTGTCATAAATATTTTCCCCAATTTGATGTTTTTTCAAATTGTTTCTTTTATTATACAGAAATTATTCATTTTAATGTAGTCAGGCATATTTATCATATTCATGGTTTTCTTTCAAATTTATTGAATCAAAAAATGTTATTTCTTGGCTATAATAGAGAAAACCTTCCATTTTCTCCTCTTTTATTGTAATTTTTTTTATTTGTCATCCAGCTGCAATTCACTGGGATGTATAGTTCTGTTTAGTTCTGCAAAGAAGCTTGTTCGTATTTTGATTGGTATTGCATTAAATACATAAGTTAATTTGAGGAGTTGTCATCATTATTAATTGATCCATCCATGAACCTCAATTGTTCTGTTTCACTCCTTTTATATTTAGGGTCATTATAGTTTTATAGTTACTTTTATACAGGGCCATGTAATTGGAGGTAGGTTAATTCCTCGGTAGGGGAATTAGGTTTTGTTGTAAATGGAATTTCTTTTTATTGTATTATATTGATCATTGTTAACTAATAAATGCAGATTTAGTGGGGAAGGCCAAATCAATTGTTTTTGCTCTAGACCTATGATTCGATTACAGTGGATATCTCACTTATGTTCTTCCACGTTTACATCTTTTGCCACTGATTTATCTTGTGTTAGATGGCATGGTGGTTAGAGAGCTAAATCTGGAGTCAGGAAGATACGAGTTCAAATCCAGCCTCAGTCTTTTATTAGCTGTTGGGACTCTGAGCAAGTCACTTCACCTTTGCCTCAGTTTCCTTCTCCACAAAATGAGGATTAATAATACTGCCTACTTAATAGGTTTACTGCAAGGATAAAATGATGTAATATTTGTAATCTTGTAAGCCTTACAGGACTATGTAAATGCTAATTATTATTATTGAGTTTTTGAGTTTCGTCTCCTTAATTTCCTTTTTCAATGTGTTCAGATTCTTCTTCCAAGTCTTTTAATAAGAGCTCTGATTTCACTACTCTAGTAGTTCAGTTATTCTATTGGGCCTTCCTTCCACTCTGGTCATACTTATTGCAGAGCTAGTCTCTTCAGGAGTCTTCTGGCAGTCTCTTGTTTGAGGCATTTCAGTCATGTCCAACTCTTTTGGGATTTTCTTGGCAAAGACACTGGAGTGATTTGCCATTTCCTTCTCATTTTACAGATGAAGAAACTCAGGCAAATAGGGTTAAGTGTTTTGCTCAGGATCACACAGCTAATAAGTGTCTAAGGCTGGATTTGAACTTAGGAAGATGAGTCTTCCTGACTCTAGGCCCAGCATTCTATCTACTGTGCCACCAAGCTGGTCTCTTACCCTGTCGTATTTCTTCACTATGTTAGGAACTTATTTTTGCTTGCTCATTTCTCCGGGACTTTTTTTTTAATTGGGCATGGGGTATCTATCTGTCTGTCTGTCTGTCTGTCTATCTATCTATCTATCTATCTATCTATCTGTCTATCTATCTATCTATCTATCTATCTATCTATCTATCTAGTGTTAAGAAGGTGCAGAAACATTTTTGCAATGAACTGCAACATTCCCATGTTCACTTCCACACCTTAGAATCTTCCAGAGAAGAAAAGAGAGCACTTGGTTTTGGTGTCCTTAAGGTGATCCAAAGCATTCAGAAATTCAACAATTTGAGAAGCATCTCTAAAGTGCCCCACTATAGTATGCCAGCTGCTGTCCTAGGCATTGGAGATAGAAACCAAAGACAAAGTTAAAATAATCCCTGCCGTGAAGGACCTTGTACTCTACTGGAATCAGGGGGAATGATCCCAATAGAAAGCAGCTGCTTTGGTCGTCAGATTTGCCTCTGAACTGGTGGGAGCCCTGTTGCTAATTTTCTCCCTCTGGTCTTGATTCCCAGGAGGCTTCTAGCTCACTTATGCTTCTGTGTTCTGCAAGAGAGGAGAAATCATAAGACTGTACAGGAAAGCCAAGAGAAAAGAGCTCAACTTTGGGAGGAGATGACACTGCACTAAAATATCCCTGTGGCACCCCCAGACCCAAATGGGAAATAATTAGAATCTTCCTGAATCTGAGAATTGGAAAATGAAGTATATTAATCAGAGCTGTACAGGACAGTGGATTTTTTAAAACTGCACTTATTTGAAGCCCAACAATAATTACAGAGCGCGCGCACACACACACACACACACAGAAATACCACATAGAGGAGGCAAGAGGGAGGTTTTCCAGTTGGGGTTTGGGGTTTCCAAATGTCTCATCTCTGGCTACAGTCCTTGGCACACAACAGGTAGCAGAATCTTTTCATATTTCAATCAACATGGATTTATTAAGTGACTACCATGTGTCAAGTGCTGTAGGCACTGAGAATACAAACACAAAAGTGAGATCAGTCCCTAACGTTAAGCAGGTTACATTGTTTTTGAAAAACATTTTAATTTATTTTAGGGACTTAACTACCAATTTTTCTTTTTTTGTTATGTTTATTATAAATTTGACAAACAAAAAATGAACATTTCCATATACAAAGGATAGGAAGAGGATTGTATATTAAATTTTAACCTCTATTATATATAGCTTTTTTTTAAGTATATATTTAACACAGTAGTACCAACGTTGCCCTGCTAGTATATGTACTTTCTGAACTTCCTTTTATTCTCTTCTGTTTATTTTTAAATGATTCAACAATTCTTCCTTTTTTGTGTTACAATCACTACTCTCCTATAGTCCTCCTTAACTATTCCCCTCCCAAAAAAAGCCCTCACTTTTAGCAAGTCATTCAAAATATCTATATGTTGTCCATGTCTGAAAATGTCCAATTCAGCACCTGTGTTGTCTACC